ATATTAGTGGCACTGCCTTCATCCTCCTAGGATGACGATTAGTGTTGTAGGTCCATTTCTCTTCTGGCTTTCTGTTAAGTAACGTGGGACTAATTTTGCCCTCAAATACTGTATGCATACACTTAAGGTCCAAATTTTGTGCTTTTTGCCTTTTTACGTTCTATTGTGCAATATGCATTACAAATCTGAAGCCAGATTTACCTATCCCATGAATTATTCCCAAGTAAGAAGGTTTAAATGAGTTCCCATGTAAGAAGCTCTGAAGAGACTTGATGTATTAGAGTAACAGTTCAGTCCTTATTCTTCTCAATTCTAAAGTGGAAGCAAGATTTAGCAGCCCTTTAGCCAGCACAGTTGATTCCTTGCTCAGCGCTGTGTTCCCATTAGCTCAAGTGCTTAGAGGTTAGAGAAAAGACTCGTAGTTAATGGGGAGTAGGATGGTTGTCCATGGGCAGATTTTCCTCTTTTCCAGATGGTCACCTGCATTTTGTCTGATATCAACACTTCATTGTATGGAAATGTAACTGCACCTGTAGCTAAATGCACCTTGCCCAGTGCACCAACAATTAGTTCCACTCTATTAATTTAGGGGAAGAAAGCAAAGCTGTCAGGATGATATCCACTGGAAGTCTAAGCTACTGTACTCCTCTCTGATGGTCACTGAGCAGAGTTTAGCTCTGCCCTATCTGTAAAGAAGCAATGCCCCGGGTACCTTGTTTCCACTATTGCCACTATGCAGGTTTGAGCATTCTCTCCAGAACAGTTCAGAACACTGAAATAAATTCACAGCTCTCAAAGCCATTTATTCTATAAACAGTGATGAACGTGTTATGGTCATATGTTGTGTGGCCCAAACGTTTAAAAAAATTTTATTTAAAATTAAGTACTGCGTGCTATTTTAATTCTACTATCACTATAGGATGATGGTGCACAGACCTTTAGACTTTAGCCATCACCATAATAAACAGATTAAAATAGATCAAGATCAAAAAAAGAAGCCTCTTTGTCAGCTTAACTTTCTGAAAGGCCTTGAAATGGCAATTTAAAATAATTGAAATATTTTTATTAAAAGTCCAACCAAAGAGATATGTTTAAGCAACACGAACTCTTCATTTTAAAAAGATATAGATATTAATTATATCAAATATTAAGTTGTACTGGTGGAAAAAGTGTTCTGAACAGATAGGAGAACATGGTATGAAAAATAATCAGGCGCTGTTACACACACAAAGAGAACTAATCTCACAACTCCATTTTATAATCTTTGTTTCAAGCAATATCAACAAAGATTTTGTCTGCAAAGGATCTACAGGATTTCTAAAAGACTAAATTCTATATTTATAATATGAATACAAAACAGCAATAAAAGTACAGGTAAAATGAAATTGGCTTAAGATTTTTTTCACTGAATTTTTTCTTCTCTAATATATTGGTCAGAATAAGAAAAAAGGGGTAAATATTTTGAGAAAGCAATAATTTGATAGCCAAGGTGAAGATAGTTCTCTAAGAAACCTTTAAAGAATTAAATATACATAACCACGTTTCATAGAAACAAACTGTTTTTTAGGTTTAGGATATAATTTATAAATATTACAAAATAGAAAAGTCATGTTTTGGGTACTGATCATAGCTTTTCCCCATTGCTTTTCATTGCAAAATTATGACTTACTATAAATTGGCCTGTTTCTGAAATTTATATGCTTAGAATGAAAAAATGTCATTAACTTATTTGTCTGTTGTAGTCCATGGTGGCGAAAGCAAGTACAAAAGTGAGTAGAAATTTAATAGAAAATCTGCATTTCCAGTATATGATGCAATAAGGAAATAATGAAAGGGACCAGATAAAAATTACTGAGAGTCAGATTTTGGTGGTGCCTCCTCTCAAAGATTGTTCTTATCCTATGTGCTGTGCAAAAGCAGAACTGTCCCTGTCCCTGTCCGCAAAGCAGTGAAAACTGCACATCTCACTATATAGTTTTCCCACAATTTCTGTTTTCAGAATATTCTACAATGCAGATAAAGACAGTTTTCTTTTTGTTGCTAACATATGTTGTTTCCAAAGCACCCAGAATTGTAGATTCCCAAAAATCAGTAATTAATCTTAAATGCTTTTATGGAATGCAGCTAAAATACATCATCTGCAAAACAAAACAAAACAAACAAACATAAAAACAAGTTAGCATTAACTCTTTATTACAAAATAAATAACATAAGCTGCTTCTCTCCACAGAAGTCAAACAAAATAATCCATGATGTAAGTGTTACCTTTCTGAACTCACTTTCCACTTCAGATACTAAGAGAAGCAAAAGAAAAAGGATTAGTTCTAAGATGTGGAAAATATTATCTAATGGTTCTGATGTATGTACTCACTTATACAGATGTGTATATCTTTCGTATGTACTCACTTATATAGATACTTTAAAAAAAGATGTACAAAAGAAGGTGGGTGGAAGTGAACTACGTTTTCATTCCTTTTTTTTTTTTTTTTTAAGAGCAAAAAGAGGAGAATCCAGAATGGCAGACTTTGACCCTGGTGCCATTTCACTGAATTCTCCACTTAATTTTTTATTCAGAAATGAATTTAATTGAAATATATTTCTGAATGAGAAGTGTCTACGTGAAATTATATAGTAGCTTTTGCAGAATTAATGGCCTCTTTCATTGCAATTGTGGAACATCGTGCAATTCTCAGCACAGACCAAGTACATCAATTTGGGCTTTCTTAGCAACTATGTAGCAGGAGATAGCCAGTGGTCAGACCTGCAGGCGGCACAACTCATAGACCTAGCAGAATGTTTCTCTCACAGGCTGCTCCATGGAGCAGAGATACCTCAGTATCCATGGAACCTTCTTAATGATGTATCTGACACAGCCTGCTGAAAGTTCAAGGGCATAATTATGGTGCTCTTCAAGTCCAGTCAAAATTGAGTTCTTCTTGGAACTACTCTGAGACTATTCCATCTTCCTAACATGGGGGTCAGTCTTTGCTAGCTACCCAACATTGTACATCACACCCATCAAATCCTCAGGAAAAGGAGGCAAGAAGAACTTCCCTCTAATCCAGACCGTGAAAGTGAAACCTGTTTTCTCTTTGGTATAGGTTATAAATCTAAGAATGGAATTTTTCTTCCCCCTGCTCTACTCTAAGAAAAACAGAGTGAGTGGGGGAAGGGAGTCAATTAGCTTTACAAACGATCTGGCCAGCAACGCCGAATTCCTAGCAAACGGCCCATTGAAGGCTGGAGTGGGGGAGTGATTAGCTTTGCAAAGGAATCTAGCTGGCTGAACCGCATTCCTAATAGATGGCCATCAGAGGCTAGGGGAAGAGGGGAGGAGTTTTGGGGGGGGTAGCTGGTTCTTCTGGGAGGGGAGAGAGGCGGACTGCAGAGCTCGCTCTCTGGGACTGAGACGGGGATCTGCATGCGGGCATTTGGAGAGAAGGCCTGGAAGTCTGTCTTTCTGGCTTTTTGTCCTGGTGAGGCTGGACCACCGGACTCGGTTGGCTCGCATGCTGCCTCGTGACTCCAGCCGGGACCTACTGGGTTTTCATCGGAGAGGTCTGTGCTTGCTGGGAGAGAAGGGAAAAGCCTTGGAACACCGTCATCTGAGAACAACAGTGAGTCCCATAGGGGTGAACTGCTTTTCCTTCTGTCTTTCTCCCAATGGGGGAAGGGTCTCCGTTTTCCTTTCGGCTTCTCCCGTGATCCGAGACCACCCCCCAGATCCCCTTCCCGCGTGGTGACCACCAGAGCCCAACAGCGCCCCCTGCAGGTCACCACAGAGAACTGCAGGCTCTGCACCTCCAGTGACCCAACAGCGCCCCCTGCCAACCACGATTAGAACTGCGCTAGAAGACAGAGAAGTATTCAGACTTTTTCTTTTGTTTGAAGGGAACTTCTGGGTACAGGACTATTGTTTGTTTTTATGTTCTGTTACTGCTCTTGCCAATATACATATATCTTTTAATAAAGGGTTGTTATTTCTTTTTTTTTCCCCACACTTCCTTGATTAAAGCCCCTAATTTTTCTGAATTTACAATTGCTGAGAGAGAGGAGTTTAGCCTGTCTCATAACTCATCCTCTTTAGCAAACATTTCAGTCTCTTCAGACTGAGACAGATGTATATAGTCACTGCCCACGGGGTCCAGCGATGGGACTTGGTAGTTGCAGCTTCCATGTCTGTCAGTTGAAGTGGAGGCCTTGATCCATTGGGGGTGAAGGAGGGAAGCCCCCACACTCCAAGAAGTTATGAGTTACTATATCCATGGTTAGTGTCACAGGCCATGCCACGAGCCTCCAATGTCTCCTAGGTCTGTGTTGAGTTTCCGTGAGGAGGTCTGGCAAAAGGGTTTTTCCCGCCTTTCGAGATTGGCAGAGGGGGGAATGGGCTTTGATGGGCCATCAAAGGTATAATGCAAAAGTCCTGCAGAAGTCTGCAAAAGTCCCTTGGCAATCCTAGAATGCACAAATCACCTGATTTGTGTCTCTGACACCTCCCTCTTTTTTTTTCCAGCAAGGTTTGAGAACAGGAGGTCCCTACGTTGGCCTTGCTTATTTGAAGTTGAGGCCTGTAGCGACTGCTGTTGTCTGCTGCTGCGGGAGGGGAGAGTGCTGGGCAGCGGTTGGCTGTCCTGCTTTTCTCATGGAAAGTGGTGAGATTTTGCTAGTTCTTTATTTCGCTGGCTACCGGGTTTTTAGATTGTGCATACCTGTTTTGTTTCTGTCCCTTTTTGTCCCTTTTTTTTTTTTTAATCCTTTTTCCCTTCTCCCTTCCCCTCTTCCCTTTTAGGGAGCTATTTGGGGTTTCTGGGGTTATATGTACATAGCATTCTCACTGTATATATCTGTTTTTATATGTAAAATATATTTTTTTGCTATAGCTTTGGCTGTTCAGGTTTTTTTCTTCCTTCTCTGGGGAGTAGGCTCTTTCGCTGAGTCTTTGGAGACTTGGCGGGAAGCCAACTCAAAACTTGCACATTAAGTTTATCTTGATTCCAGAAGCCACAACCTTTTTGTGATTCTCATCTGAAATAAGAAATAAACGTTGGGTATCTAAAAATGTCAGTGAGTCCAGCCTAGGCCCCTTGCTCATTACAGAACATAAAACCAGCTAAGGCCTTATTGGTTTTGAGCTTAATTCTATGGCAAACTGACAACAATTTTCACTTTCTAATACTTGTCTCCTGTAAAATAACAGTTCTCATCCTTACACAGTGTATACTTACTTGCAAACATCATTTATACCAGGTTATGGAAAGTAAGCATTTAATTCCCAGCAGTTGTTAGAATGCCATTACACATCGTATTTGAATTTATACATTACACAAAGAGTAATTATGTTTATGTAAAATAATGATGATGATGATGATGGTGATAAGATCAAGCGGCAGATGTGTGAACAAAAATGCTTGCTCCTTTATTTTTAAATATCAGATGAGCTAAATGGAAGCTCTAGTATCTTTTGTGGATCATTTTGTTAACTCAATATAAATAATGCTTTATGTTTTATTGTCCATTTGGAGATACAGTATATCACAGTCAGGTGTTCTTCACAGTGCTGCTATTATAGCAGCACCGATATCACATGTCTTTCTCATATTGGCCTTTTTAGCCACCAACGTGCTTGCAAGAAACGTGGGTAGAGCCCTTCCCAAATCTTCGTTTGCGAAGCCTAGCCATGATGATGATGATGATATCACCACTTTATTGGTAACTAATTAAGAAACACATTAGGTAAGATGTCTTTTAAATGCAAAAGCAAGAGAATGTTTAAAAGTCAGTGGGTCTCATCAAGCCTTGTAGGTACTTACCTTGTCTGTTCTCAAGTCTACTGCAGCACAGTAGACTTCAATCTTTTAATACTTAAAGAGGGTGTGTAATACAGGTGATGACAGACTTTCTAGTAGGCCCTGTAGTGATAGGATGGGGGAAATGGTTTTAAGCTACAAAAGGATGGGTTGCAAACTAGACATAAGGAAGACGCTTTTTTTATGATGAGGGTGGTGAGGCCCTGGCATAGGTTGCCCAGAGAGGTGGTGGGTGACCCATCCCTGAAAACATTCAAGGTCAGGTTAGATGGACCTCTGAGCAACCTGATCAAATGTCAAATGTCCCAGGTCATTGTGGGGTAGTTGGACTAGATGACCTTTAAAGATCCAAACCATTCTATGATCTGCAGCCTCTTGGGCTTTCTCACCTTTGCCCATCTCATGAAATCTTCAAGAAGGCATAGGCTGCACTGGACGTGGCATTCCACAGTGCATGGACATGACACAAAAGCCAGCAGAGGAGTCAGAGGTGCCTCCTATCTGTTCTTTGCTGTATTCTCTTCGGTAATTCAATGGGAGCATAGTAAACACAGGCTTACGTCACACCTTTACCTTACTGAGCTTTATCCCTTCCTGCAGCCACTCGGGACATGCCTTAACCACCTGATCCCCCAGGGTGGAGATGCCCTCAAGCCCACAGCGTCTATCCTCTGTATAAAGTACTTCAGATTTTCTGGGCTGGGAAGGGAGAGGCTGTGGGTTGGGCAGTAGATGAAGAAGGAGGAAAGGCTCAGCAGTGAAATATGTGTCAGAGGTGAGGTCAAATCTCAGCTACTGTGACTCCTGCATATAAAACACCCAAATGTTATGAGAGAAGAGGAGGGAAGAGGTAGGGCACTACCAGGGCCTTTCTATATGTGATGTAGGAAGAAAATTCACGTTATTTGGCACCAGCTGTGCTAGGCATAGCCCAAGGTCAAGCTTTGTGTGCTGAGACCCAAAACCACTTTGGAGGTGTGGATTGATGGGATGGCTACATCAGAGTATGTCAGAGTAAGATATGGTAGCTGTTGCTTTAATAAAAAAGAACAGAGGAAATTGTAGAAACAGCAGGAACAGGGTCAGTAGGTCTTCTGTCATGAACCTTCCTCAACAGTTTGGCTCCATGATATGGAGGAAAAGCAGTGTTTCAGTCCAGACTGTGATGAATAGACCTAGTTGGAAGGAGTTACAATGGTTATAATACATTATAAAATCATTTGTAATTTATAAGAAGAAGAAAAGATCAAGGATTCATTCCACTAACCTCAAACAATTTATTGATATTAAATCATATTAAGTCCCTGTTATTTTCTTGTATTTGGCATTTTCTTCTGGACGTTGATTCTGATCTGCTTTGGCCTCCTGCCAAATGTACATCAAGTCAGTTCCAAACTCCATCTCCCCTACAAAATATGAAGTGAAATAATTATATTTCTGAGCAGTGTATAGAAAAAAATATGGGCAGGTGTGGGGTAAACCCATAGCTTTAAACAGATATATCACATGAAGTGTTTGATTAGACCATGTATAAATAATATGTTCATCTATATGATTCACACACATGGGACATAAAGATAGCTCAGGGACCTCAGTAACCTGCATGTTGTGAGTCTGAGAGACAAATTCTTATATATCTGCTTAGCCTAATATTTATTTTCAGACTAATGCAAATAACGTCTTCATATCATGTAACTATGTCAGAGGGAGGTAAATCAAGAAAAGCTCCACTGAACTTAGACCTAGTCACAGCTGTAAGAACAGGAGCATGCTTGCATATTTAGGTATATGTTGCATTCCGGATTAAGCTATAAAATTCCCAGAGTGGTTACATTTTTTATTTAAGATTTTTTAAAAGTCTTTTGGTTCGTTATAACCTCCAATCAGTGTCTCGAGAAAGAGTCACACACTCTTCTCTAAGAAAAATTCTTTTTGATTTGGTGAGAAAAATAAGATATTTTGGCAAAAGGTTCTTACAGGAGTAAAATACAACCAAGAAAAAGCATTTCACTATGCTTCACATTCAGCACGAAGACCCATTCCACAGGAAACGCACTAAAACCATCCATATATCAGCTTTAGTAAAACACAATTCATTAGTTTTAAGTTACCCACAAGAGAAGGAAAAGAGTAAAAGAATAAAAGAGATTAAAAGGGATAAAGAAAGAAAGAAGAAAGAGAGAAAGAGAGACAAAAAAGGAAAAAAAAATGGCTACCGACAAGATTCGATGATTCACATGGTGCCAGCTGGAGAGGGAGAAGAGAAGAGGGAGACCGCATGGAGTCTTGTGTATTTATAGAGTTCAATTTTCCCTCCCAGGCAGGATATCACACAGCACCTACAGGATGGACAAAGGATTAGACCCAGCCAACATGAGTTTAGGAAGGGCAGGTCCTGTCTGACCAATCTGATCTCCTTTTATGAGCAGGTGACCTGCCTGGTGGATGAGGGGAAGGCTGTGGATGTGGTCTATCTGGACTTCAGCAAAGCCTTTGACACCGTCTCCCACAGCATTCTTCTGAAAAAGCTGGCAGCCCGTGGCTTGGACAGGGGCACTCTGTGCTGGGTTAAGAACTGGACCCAGAGACTGATGGTGAACGGTGCTGCATCCAGTTGGCAACTGGTCACTAGTGGTGTCCCCCGGGGATCAGTGTTGGGTGCAGTTCTGTTTAATATCTTTATAGATGATTTAGATGAAAGGATTGAGTGTACCATTAGCAAATTTGCAGATGACACCATCTTGGGGGAGAGCATTGGTCTGCTGGAAGGCAGGAGGGCTCTGCAGAGGGACCTGGACAGACTGGAGAGTTGGTCTGATTCCAACGGGATGAGGTTCAACAAGGCCAAGTGCCGGGTCCTGCACTTTGGCCACAACAACCCCATGCAGTGCAACAGGCCGGGCACAGAGTGGCTGGAGACCATCCAGGCAGAAAGGGATCTGGGAGTTTGGATTGACAGGAAGCTGAACATGAGCCAGCAGTGTGCCCAGGTGGCCAAGAAGGCCAGTGGCATCCTGGCCTGGATCAGGAACAATGCGGCCAACAGGTCCAGAGAAGTGATTCTTCCCCTGTACTCAGCGCTGGTGAGGCCACACCTCGAGTACTGTGTCCAGGTCTGGGCCCCTCAGTTCAGGAAGGATATTGAGGTGCTGGAGCAGGTCCAGAGAAGAGCAACGAGGCTGATGAAGGGACTGGAGCACAAGTCCTATGAGGAGAGGCTGAGGGAGCTGGTGTTGTTTAACCTGGAGAAGAGGAGGCTCAGGGGAGACCTCATCACTCTCTACAACTCCGTGAAAGGAGGTTGTAGCCAGGTGGGGGTTGGTCTCTTCTCCCAGGCAGCTATCAGGAAGACAAGAGGGCATGGTCCTAAGCTCTGCCAGGGGAGGTTCAGATTAGATATTAGGAAGAAATTCTTTACAGAGAGGGTAATCAGGCATTGGAATGGGCTGCCCAGGGAAGTGGTGGATTCTCTGTCCCTGGAGGTTTTTAAGAGGAGACTGGATGTGTCACTTAGTGCCATGGTCTAGTAACTGAGGTAGTCTTGGATCAAGGGTTGGACTTGATGATTTCAGAGGTCTTTTCCAACCCTCTTTATTCTATGATTCTATGATTCTGTATCCAGTTAGTGCTTTCCAGGCCAGAGTGAGTTGTGCTGTAGCCAGTCCCAGGCTCCAGGGGCATAATGTGGGCGGGCTACCAGGCTGCTCTGCCTTGACCGACAGTCAAATGACAAAAGATTTTGATTTAATGTATCAGATGTCCTCCAAATATATATTGTTTTCCAGAAACACCAGTATTTAGGCTAATATCTAAAGTACAAGACTAATACATTACCTATATTCTGATTACAGGATGAAGTAAGTTTCTGGTTTAATATTAAGAGTGTTACATGCATCTGTCAGTTGATTCACTAAAATTAGAGGTGAAGTCCTGAAAAAATTAGTAACCCTTAGCTGAGACCAGCCCATCACTGTATATTAAAAAAATGGGGATCAGGTTGTGGCAGCTCTGGAAATTATACAGAAAATACCCCAATATCCAGTAGCTGGCTTTTCAGAATAACAGCAAAATAAAATAAGTTTGGAGTCTTTTTTTAAAAAAAAGGTAATAAATATGATGTGTTTTTTCTCATTTTCTATCCCATACTGAACACATTGTAACTGAACATCTCTGCGTAAAAAAACCCATATCTGTATAAACAAAATGGCTTTGTTAAATAGCTGTTTTGGGAGGTATTTGCTCCTAGATGGAAGAAACATACAAGTTTTGGTCTTCTGTTGGGTGATTTTGATCCTCATACTTTAGGGTAACGGGATTTCTTACACACCTGTTGTTCATCTGTGTTCATTTATGTACACACATAAATGAAGTTGTTAATTTGGAGGGAAGGGAGGGGATAAAAATGTTCTTTTTGCTGTTTGAGTCAGCATTTACTCAGTCTGCGAGGTCAGAAAGAGCCTTGTGATAATGGCATCCATCTAAGTGAAAATAGTTTGAATTTTCAGCACAAAAAGGAGTGGAAGACTGGATAAGTCTATTTTCAGGCTAACTTTACAGTGTTACATCTTTGTTATTAGAAAAAACAATATTTTTCAGGATTCTATCTTTGATGTTCATGCCAAACTTCTATCCATCTAGTGCAGAGACTCCTCTTTGCAATATTCTTCTCTTTTTTCAGGTCAGACTTTGTAGATCATCACTGTTCTGCCATCTTCAAAATAATTCTAAGAAGCTGTTGTACAGAAATGTCAGAGAAAACTCCTAAAAAAAAAAAGGAAAAATAAAAAAATAAAGACCCGGCCAAAGGAGAGAGCTCTGTGTCCTGGTTAGAACGGCTGGGACCAATTCATCCCTGGATGGGTGTAACCCAAAACTGTGTATTCTATAGCCTCCATGCCATTTCCCAAAAACTGCTGTCAGTAGAGGCCTGCAAGGTGGGAAGATGTTCCTGTACCCTTTTATGGAATTCCCCGCTCTGATATCCTTATATGGAATTCCCCGCTCTGATAAGAGGGACTGAGCATCCACATGCCCTTTTATGGAATTCCCTACTCTGAGGGAGGGACTGAGCACTCCCGCCTGAACTGGAGAGTATATAACTGGGAGTTTCAGAGCCTTGGCTCTCTCTCTCGTGGGACCCAGAGGAAGACAGCAGACCACCGCTGCTCCCAACCAGGCTGAGACCACCACCCTCGACTGGACTGCAATCACCACTTCTGACCAGACTGCAGCAGCTCTCCCACCAGCAGGTTTATCCCCTCTCCCTTTGCTTTGGACTCGGGGGGTGGGCCAAGGTACACCACTTTTGTTCATACCCCAGGGTGCTGGGTTTGTACATTTGGGTTTTGTGGATTAAAACCAATTGTCTGTCTGTATAATTGTACTTATTGCATTATTTTAATAAATTGTTATTCTGACTTATAAATCTCTCTTTTGAATTGAGTTCATTTTGCCTTGCTGGTTAACTTTTAAACCAGCACACTCTGCAATCCCCATAACACAAGGAGATAAAAATGGGATTGATCCCCTTTGGACAGTGTTGCTCACCCTCGTACTAATACCTAAGTATTTATACAATAGCATAAATTTCCAAGGCAGGTATTTTCATTAATCATTCATTTCTGATGATCCAACCCACTTAGTTTAAGAGCAACCTGGTAATACTATGGGGATATTTCCCTCCTTTATGCTGATTGACCAGAATTCAGACAGATGGAAGAGACTCAGAGAGATTTATTTACAGTTTTAGAGAATAGTGTGCCTTTTGGGGGAGGGGGACTGTAGGGAATAACTGTGGGAGACAATTGAGCTGTGGATAGCTTGGGCCCTGTATTTGAGCCATTGCAGCTGCGAAGTTGTGAAAGAATAGAAACATTGAAGATAAGAGGGTGGACAGGGAGGACGGAGTTGCAGGGCACCTGTGATAGCCAGAGAGCCTGAACTGTTTGCTGAGTCACCCTGAGTTTGCAGAAGCTACAGAGCAGCCAATCTTGACATGCGTATGTAGTAGAGACACCAATAGTAATGAAACACGCTGGCTAGAAAAAGACTATAAATTGGACATGTTTGTATGAAATAAAGGCTTTTCTGCGTGAAATCCCAGTGTGGTGCCCGTGCCAACAACGACAAATAACACTATACCTGTTGCCACTTAGGGGCAGGTAAGGAATATTACAGCCTGCAAGGGATCTAGTTGAAGACCATAGCAATTTGTCTCACTTGACACTTTAGTAAGGTCCTCTACTGGAGTTTGTTCGGACTGTGTAAAATGTTGATTAATCCTCTGAGCACATGTGTCATGGTTTTCCTGGCTCTGCATGCAAAGATCCTTTAAAGCATTCAGGAATGGCCAAAATAGGTTGGCCATGGTGATCATCAACCCTTGGAGGGTTTGTTTCTA